AGACGTACGGGTCGAGAAGGCGTCGGCTCGGAGAGCGGTCGATGGAGGATCCTCTCTCGTCGTTCGGATGGTAGCCTTAAGTACGAAGCGTGAGATGAATCAGCGCTGCTGTGTCCTGGCCTTTGCCTCCCCACGCAAGCTGATGTGATTGGTTAACGGCTTCAGCCGAAGAAAAGGTTCTTGCGAGGAAAGAGCAAATGGCTAGGGCACTTCCCTTTCGAACTAATTACTTCTCGCTCATTCCCAAATAAGGTTACGTTCACACCACAAACTCTTACACCTCCCCGCCTTACAAAAAAGTCCGTCCTCGGACTTGAGGTATGGTTAGAGTGAAAAGAAGTAAAGGACCAACCTGGGTGGAGTGGAAATGAAAAGGAACCGTGTTATTCGAGGAGATCGGGTAGAGTCGTTGCGGTGGTGATGGCATTACGACTGGAGGCCCATTGCAGGATCGTCTTCCAGTAGGACAAGCCGATCAGTGATGGTTCGTGACCTAAAACAAATTGGCCGTGGCGGCAACGCGAGAGGGCGACATTCAAGCGATGGGGTTCGTTCAGGAACTCGCCCCGCTCAGCGTCAAATCCCGTTCTAGTAGTGAGGAGGATGACAATATCCTTTTCACGTCCTTGTACGGAATCCACCGTGTAGAGATCGACCGAGGAGGTCTTGGTGAAGTGTTTCAGTGCACGAGCCTGGTCCTTGTAGAACACGATGATGGCGATAGAAGAGGGCTGTACGCCTTTATTGAGCAGGGACAGGACGATCTGACGGCAAACCTCTGCTTCAGTCTCGTTACTGTGAGAGCCGCTGGGGGATTTGATGGAAGAACCTGGGACGTCGACGAACAGGAACGGGAGCAACGGGTTGGGGCAGCGAACCGTGTCGAGAAGTAGTCGGCGATCGTCAGCTGAAGTACCGCTCACGAGTGTCTGGTTATAGAATACCAAATTGGGAAGCTCATTCAGCAAGGGATGGGCACGAAAAGTCGTGGTTAGTGGTGCCGTGGGTACTCGTCTGGCAAGTAGAATGTCCATTATTCCCTGAGCGCCGAGGCGGGCCGCATTCGAGGTACGCGGGCATCGTGCATGAGGTTCCAACTGGTGGATATCGCCGATGTAGACATGATGAGCGCTAGGAAGGTGCGTCGCGAGGGCTACGAGAGCTGGCTCTGGGATTTGCGAAGCCTCATCTCCGATGACTGTAGTGAAGGTGTTGACCCAGCTGCTGAAGATACCGTCGGTGGAGATGGAGTTCAGCAAGGCGGAAGTAGTGATGCACAGGATGGCTGGCGGACGCACGGCGAACATAATGGCAACTGCTTCACGAGTAAGATCCGAGATGTCACGTTCGGCTACGCGGTACTCATCGCGTTCCGTGTCGGAAAGTTCGATTGCCAAATCGTGGTCAAACATGCAGCGCTCTAAAAGCTCACGACCGCGTTTGTAACGAAGGCAAGTCTCGAGGGCGTCCTCAGAGAGGAGATGAGCATAGTCCTGAGGGAGGCGCTTGAGTATTGTGTGAAGATCGATCGGCGTCTGCGGGGCGCCTTCCACTAGTGCCGCATCGGAGACGTAACGCAGGACATCGAGGTGCTTGTAGTGGTCAAGACGGAGCAGTGTGTCGGTGAACTGAGCGACGGCCGTGTTCGTCGTGGTAGTGGCGATTACTCGCTCCTTAGTCGAACAGTACGTCCGGGCCGCAATGAGAGCGCCAACTACAGTCTTACCCGTACCGTAGGCCGCCTGGATCGCAAGGATCGGGAGACGGAGGTCTCCCATTTGAAGGGCAGCAACTTGGTCTGGACGAAGCTCAAATGACCGACCTCCGACGGAGGCTACAATAGGCTCTTGTTGAGGGCCAACAGGCCCGATGGGAGGGTGACTCGTACCGTAGACGGCGTCGAGGACGGCGCTCGCTCGTGAGTCCTCGCTGAATTGGCCGAATAGCTGGCGTTGAGCGATCAGTTGGTACAGAGGGTCGGCACCGGCTGGAGGAGGACCAAGCTTCACACAGATGGGAACGTAGGTGATGTCATCCCGAGTGGTCGCGAACTGCTTGACTGTCTGAAGCGCAAACTTGTGAGCCCAGATTGGTACGCAGAGGCGAATAGACATGGAACGATCCTCGTAGGAATGCTCGGAGTGTTGAATAGTGGCACGAATAAGAGAGCGAGCTCCGACTACCCACAGGTAGACGGGCCGCTGATTGACCCATCCGCACTCAGAAGACATATCGGCAATAGTGAAGTTGAGCCGAAGAGGAAACGCCGCTAAGTCGGGAATAGTGGCGGTCAGCATATGGGTACGCTTGTCGTCGTTGAGGGAATTCACGGCGGCGAGGGCAGAGCAGGCAGCGTTGAAAAGTTGAGCCATACGTCGTCGAGCCGCTTGAGGGTCAGTGTGATAGCCGCTAAACGTGTTCGCCCGATCCATGATCCAATCTTTCTCAGTGCTGGAGAGCTTGAATACCCGGAGGGGAAGCATGCCTTCATCTGGGTGAGCCGGCAAGAAATCCCGGACGAGAGCGCAAAGATCCCGTTGAGCAGTCTTGGAAACGGGAAACTCCGAAAAACGGATGGCACAAGAAACGTTACGCCGAGCGTGGGCCGAAACAATTTCGTCCTGTTCCGCCTCGGACAGGGGGAAGTCGCAGACTTTCGGCGAGACGGGTACGGCTTCGGGAGCTCCCTCGAACGCAACACGCAGCCCTTTGACAGTCTCGTGGCGAATCAGCAGGGACATAACAATGCCGTAGGTACGCTGGGTGGTAGTTGGAGGCGTAACGAAGATGAATTCTCGTACTCGAAAGAAGAATGGGAAGCGGGTGTCGAGGGCGGTTGCCTTGGGAATCCTTGCTTCCTTTAACGCTGTCGCCGGGTCACGAAGCGCCGCACGCGTAGGTTCCACTGAGTATACCCATACGAAGTCTTTTACGGAGACGAGCGATCGGTCGAAACCTCGCGTGTTGCTGCGGATGTTGGTGGCAAACTGGTCCAGGATAATGAGATGTAGCTCGCGACGATCAGGACCAGGTATGAAGAAATCTTTAGCTTCCAGTACAACGCCTTGACCTATACCTTTGTTGACGACTTGATAAAGGACCGGAAAGTGAGGGCAGCTTGGAGGGAGGACGGTGGACGGCATGGAACCCTCTGGGGTGATCGGCCGAGTATTCTCAGTGATGACGTAGTCTCCTCGGAGAAGTGTGTCGACGACAGTTTGCGAAGATTCGCGGAAGGAGATGGCGTGGTCGAGACGCATGAGCTCGATGATCGACAAACGACGACGGGGACAAGGTCTCTCTCTGAACCGGTGTGGAAAAAGGCGCCTGACGTATCTGGCAGAAAGGTATCCCGCTGGAGGAACGTGGCTGTATAAGTCGAGCGGCATGACGCTGGTGAGCACTGAAGGATCCGATGGAGGTTGATCCTCATGAAGGACGACGAATTTGGCCCAAGGGTGGCGTCCAAGGAGACGATGAGTATAGCCTTCTGGTGTACGTTCCGGTAGCTTGTGATGGGTTGTCACCGTGAGTCGATTCGCTGGACGCTTACGATTGGGACGTTCCACAGGAGGAGCTGGAAGGGGAGCCGAAGGTTTAGCGGAAGCTGCTTCGGCGTCCTCCGCGGCTTTCTGACGAGCCACCACACTGGCGTAGGAGAATTTTGAAAAGCCTTTGTTGTTGGACTTCGGAGCGGTAGATCCGCAGACATTATCGTGTGAAGGAGCAGCAGCTCCGGATGACTCAGGCGGTGGAGTGCCTGGTGGAAGAGGAATAGAAGCGAGCTCGTCGGCAGAAAGAGGCTCAGGTTTCGGATCAGCCAGAAGAGTCGGAGCAGTATCGGGTGCCGCCTGGACCGGAGGGTTTGTAGGCGGAACCGGCGTGTGGCAAGGAGTACGCGAGAGAAGGAGCTCGGCCATGTCCTGTGCCGGGACCGCGGGGTCACAGTCGACAGGGTCACAGTCATCTACGGCGTCTGGATCGTCGAAGGGCGACGAGGATGCCTGCGTCAAAGGTGGGGATGAAGGACGCAGTGGATCGGCAACGGGGTCCTGGATGGTTGACTCGACTGCCGTTGGGTTAGTCGGGAACCCTGAAAGAACTAAGTATGGGATGTGTTATAAGCGAGAGACGCCCCAGTACCTGCGTGGTCCATGGCTCCTACGTGTACTTTGCCTTGGGCGGGTTCGGATGGTTCTACGCCCTGAGATGGAATGCTAAGCTCGGTTGGGTCCATAAGAATGCGCACTTATCTGAAAGCGTAAGGCGTGAGGTAAGGGTTGCGCAATGGCTTAAGAAGTGCCACGACAGATTCACGGTAACAGCGAACACGCTAGAAAGAGGCAGTATAATGCGAATATGGCAATGGTAAACATGTATACGGAAAGAAGGGAAGGGAAGGAAAAATAGGAAAAACGAGTAAGAAAGGTTGACGTTGGGAATAATAAGAGGTTGTAACTAACTACCCTAAACACTGCATCGATGAAAGCTAAAAAAATATAAAGATTGTAATATAAACGTATAAAAAGATAGGCCAGATGGAAGAGCGAAATAATTAAATAGAGGTGGTGCGTTTACGAAAGCGAGTGTTGTATGAATGGGAGAGAGATGGGATTGGAGTGATGCTGGTGGGGGGAGGTACCTTGTGGTCATAACCAACTACTTGAGCAGGTGTAGCCCCGTGGCTAGCAAGCGCGGAATCTTCTTCCACTGGACACCAAGGAGAGGTGAATACAGGTCCAGATATGGCAAAGCACTTCTTGACTTGATTCATGTGAACCCTTTTGGGTGGAGATTGGGGGGAAGTCACGCTAGTGATGGTGACGTGCGGGTGGTCCACAGAAATGACGCGGAATTGTCCCAACCAGGGGAAACGGAGCTTGGGTGAAAGCCCGATCGTGGGGGCAAAGTCTCGGAGATAAACCCGATCGCCCACCGATATGTTTAGTGGAGGCAGAGCAGATTTATCGTACTGCTTTTTGAAAAGCAAGCTTCGTTTGGCGTTGAAAGCTGCCGCTGATGCCCAAGCCGAATGAAGCGCCGAAACCAAGGACTCTTTGTAGATGCTAGCGTCGGCGTCGGTGGGGATGTGCTGAAATGCCTTGTGCTGCATCATCAGATCTATGTTAAAGACTGGGTCGCGTCCAAACAGAAGGAAGAATGGTGTCTCGTTAGTGCTCGAGTGAATGCTGGTGTTGTAGGAAAAGGCGCACGCAGGGAGAAAGGTGTCCCAATCCAACTGGTTGTCGCTTATATAGGTCCGAAGCATAGCCTGAAAGGTGGCGAAAACCCTTTCACAAAGTCCGTTGCCCTCGTGATGGTATGGGGTACAGAAATACCTATTAACGCGAAGCAGCCTACCTAGCTCTGACAAGAGATCCCCTTTAAGGTATGAGGCACATTATGTACTTGTTGGAAGAAGCAGAGGAGTGATAAGGTCCGCTGAGATCTAGATAGACCTTATGAAAAACGGCCTCGGCATGTACTGGCAACAGACGCTCACGATTTCCTGCGTGGCTGCGTTTCCTCTGACAAGCTTCACAAGAACGAACAAAACGATAAATATCTTCTCTCATCGTTGGCCAAAAGAACTTGCGAGCAATTTTGCCTAAGGTCTTTTTCCAATTAAAGTGTCCGCCTGCGGCTGGACTATTATGAAAAGCTATACAAACGGGCTCGCGAAGTTTAGCTGGAAGAAAAAGAGCCTCGTACTTGTGTCCTGATCGCTCACACAGCTTGTACAAACAGCCATTCTTACGAATCGAACATGAGTCCGCGAGTGCCATGGTGTCGGTTCTCACTGCGTCGGTGGTCGTCGAGGGAAAGGAGCCAGTTTCTAAAAAGTGCATTAGAGTACTACAGAAGGGATCTTGTTTCTGTTCGACCAGAACATCGTAAGGGCGGATGCGAACGGGAGGAGCTTCAGGGGTTTGAGCCAGACACACCGGGAACTCAATGATGTCTTCGGATTCCGGAGCTCCCTCTTTGAACCTATGCTCCGCAGAGTCGGTGCGACTCAGAAAATCGGCTACTACATTAGACGAGCCCTTGAGGTATTCGATCTTGATGTTGTAGCTCTGAAGCTCAACTGCCCACCTAGCGAGATTGTCGTGGGTCTTATTGTGACGCAAGAGGAAGGTCAGAGGCTTATGATCGGAGTAAATGCGAGTTAGGTTACCGTAGATGGTGGTGCGGAAGAAGCGCAGGGCACTCACCATAGCGAATAACTCGATATGCGTAGGGCTCCATTTGCGCTGGGATTCCGACAGAGCCTTACTAAAGTAGCCTACTGCTGCAAGTTTCTTAGAATCAGCCTGTTGCTGTAGAAGGGCGGCTCCCACCGCCACTTTGCTTCCGTCCGTATGAAGGACGAACTCATAGTCTCTCGGAAAGGCCAAACATGGCCGGGAAATCAGAGCTTCCTTAATAGAAAGAAAAGCTCGCTCTTGTTCAGGTGTCCATTCGAACTTAGCTTTGCCCTTGCAAAGGTCGTATAGCGGGGAAGCCATCGTAGCGAAGCCTTGAATGAACTTCCGGAAGAAGTTCGCCATGCCGATGAACCCTTTTACTTCTTTAATTGTCTTCGGCCGGGGTAGGTCTTGAATAGCCCTGATGTTGCGTTCCGCTGGGCGATAGGCGGCGCGAGAGATCTCATGACCCAGAAAGGTGATCTTGGATTGAGCAATGTCGGTGAGCTTCTTACCGGACGCTTTTATGTTGAATAGCCGGAAGCGCTCGAAGACCTTACGTAAGGAAGCGAGGTGGGAAGGGAAGTCCTTGTCGAACACTATGATGTCATCGAGGTACGCTAAACAGTTTCCCTCCAAACCGGCCAAAATTCGGGCCATAGCTCGAGAAAAGTAAGCGCCTGCATTGCGAAGACCGAAAGGGAGGTAAACAAATTGGTAAACACCCCTGTGAGTTGCCCACCCACACTTCGCCTGGCTCTCGGGGTCGAGCAGAAGCTGCATGTACCCGGAAGCCAAATCTAGCGTAGTATAGAATTGATTACCTGCCACTTTCTCAAGAAGGTCTTCGATCCGCGGGAGAGGATAATGATCGGGAACCGTGATGTCGTTGAGAGGTCGAAAGTCGAGACAGACTCGCAAGGAACCATCTTTTTTCTTGACGAGAACTGTGTTGTGGACCCAGGGCGTGTCGCTTTCCACGATCCGACCAGCCTGCAAAAGCTTGTTTATATGCTCGTCAAGCTCCTTCTGAAAGCGGGTAGGAATCCGCGTAGGTCTGTACCTGGATGGGGGAACTTCGGTGGTCGTTTTGATAGTGATGGGAGCCATTTCGTACGAGCCGAGGTCGTACGAAGACGTGGAAATGCGGTCTCGAAACTCTTCGAATAGTTCGCGCAATTGACGTCGTTGATCGTCGCTCACCTCGGCGTGGGACAGATCTACGTGGAAGGAACAGTCTCTCGTCAAGGAGCAATCAGCTCCGGCCCCGGAAGTGGCGGTAAGGACTTGAGTGCTAAAATTGTGTAGGGGGTTCTGAAAGGGTCCCATCCTCAGCCTCGAAAAGGGGAATAGCCTCGGCCAAACATTGGTCTTTGTAGATGACATGAGCGGCGTCCGAAGGGTTAGCGATCAACAAGCGGGGGTGGCTGCTCACGAATACCGCTGGAGAAACTAGCAATGTTCCTTCGCTGAGGGTGTTGGGAGAGGCCGCGAACGTGTTAGTTCCATGGGGAACGTCCGCCACGTAACAAGGAACCATAGTTTCTGTGCCTGGTAACAAGACGGTGGTCTCTGCGGCACGCACGGTGAGGTCCCTAAGCAGCTCGTCGTTCGGTTCCGGGGTGGTACAGGTAAAGATTCGAACTTGCTCCGTGCCCATTTGGAAAAGCCGGTTTTGGTAGTCAACTGTCCACGGAGGAAGGCGGCGGAGGACGTCGTTGCCAAGGATCATGTCGTAGGAATCAACTTGGACAGGGACGCATTGGCCCTCAGTGAAGTGCACTCTTTGCTTCAAATGCTCGTTCCCAATTTGAAGGTCCACCATCGCGCTTCCTACGAATCGAACTGGGATGCCGGCCATACCCAGAGCTGAAGGAACCTCGCAAGCGTCGAGCTCAAAGATGCCCAGAAGTGCCAGAAGCGACTTACTGGCGACAGTAATTCCGGCTCCGGTATCGATCAATGCTAGCATACGCAGCCCGTTGACCCGCACGGGAATCTGAGTGACAAAGAACTTGGAGTCATGCCCCAGCGAGAGAACTTGGATGGGAACGGTGGAAGCATGAGGGGGCCAAACGTTCTGAACATCGATTTCCACCTTAGATATATTGAGATCAACTGGGTGGATAGGGGGCCAAGGCTTGGCCTGGGGTTCTTCCTCGGGCGTTGGCGTGTTGTGAGGCACGCGAGCTAGGGGTATGGCGGCCGCGGCCGAGGTGTGGAGACGTATTCTCTTGAGAAGGGGCAGCAGCCCCGGGTAATTGATACCAACGTACGTGATCAGTATGGATTTTATTATGCGTGCCGAAACGAACAAGCAACACAAAAACACCCATGACTCAAAGAGAGAGGGAGGAGAAAATGGCCACGCCGGAAGGAAGCTGTTTGCTTGCAATGGGTCCGCGGACGTTGAGGGTTGGGAGTCGCGGTGAATACGAGCGATGTGGTCGACTAGCTTCTCTTGATCTCTGACCGTCCATATTTCCTGCAGCTGGGCGTCCTCTACAAGCTCGCTGAAGTTGGTTAGGATGAGATTGTGAAAGATGGTGAGCTTGGGTGACCAAGAGAGAGCGTCCAGCGGAGTGGATGAGGTGATCGACCGAACTTGATGTAGGGCAATGGGAGATAGTTGACCAGTCAGAGGGGAGAACTGCCGTAACGAGTTGTTCGCGGATAGCACGAACGGGGTGACGTCCGCACAGTCGAGTATGGGTGCTCTGCTGACTACGACTCCTGTGAAGGGATTGACGAAAGCCTGCCAAACCGAGCCACTGCTGAGTTGGATCCTGACCCGCGGGTAAGCGAAGCAGGAACCGTTGAAAGGGAGGAGGGTAACCGCGGACGCAGGAACCTGAACGCAGCGGCGAACTTGCACAAACCCGTTACCTAGGTGGGTCGCAGCGATATCCTTTCGCCCAGTGAGGCTGCGCATGGTGAGCGTGGGATTAGCCCTGAGGGCTGCATGCAGTGCGACGGCAAGAACGTTGGTACGTTCGCAGAGGGCCTGAACTGCGTGACGGAATAACGCTGCTACGGCATCGTGAACCGA